ATTTAAAAAATTTTCAAAATCAGCTCCACAGCCGACTTCGCTTACAACCAATAATAATAATTTTCTAAAAAATGATAGTAAAAACCCGCATAATTACCTTGAAAGGGRTATCCAGCAAAGTACGGTGTCATATTCAAAGTTGAGACTGTCATTTTCTTTTATTTCTCCAAAAGTTTTTGTTTTTGTTAAATTTGCTTAACAAAAGTCACTAGCTTYAAGCAAAGTTGCGCATAAAATTCCAAAAAAAAATACTATTTTTTAACACAAAGTTTTTTCTTTTGTTTTTGTTGTTTTAATTAATGTACACAACACAATTGGTTAGCCGATTTTAATGCAAAAACGTTTTTTCAACTGTCATTTACAAGAATACACGACTTAAACAAGCACAGACTTCGTTTTATTTCGTCAAATCGAACACGTCACGTGCGCTGCYCACTAAGCGTTAATAACGATTATTTGCACAGAATTTTCCAAAGCGAATTAGCGCAATGGACGACACTTTTCCTACGAACATATAAATTGTACTTCGATCTGTTGTATTCATACATATATATATATGTGTATAACTATGTTTTTCCTTAGCTACTGAGAGCGTCGCAGTTGACTCTTGTGTGTTACTTGCTGAAAATTCTCTACACCAAGTGTGTGACTCGTACGATTGCCAGCTTGAAACTGATTTTGAAACGGTCAGTCCGAGCACCAGCACGCTTTCTTGAGATTCTCAGACGCAGTTGTGCGCTGCCAGAAGACAACAAAAACACAATTTACAATGAGAAAGCAACAAGAGTTGCAAGTAAAATAGTGAGCGGCCACTGACGCAGCGCTTGTTGGTGTTGTACGCCAAACAGGTAAGTCAACACTCGCTCACACGAACACGCTCTCTCTGGTAGTGTGAGCGAGTGAGTGAGCAATAGTTTRTGTTGTGCAACAACTACCAGTTAACCACAAACAATTATATGGATGTGAAATCAACCCTGAAATGCATTCGTCGCACTGCGCGCTCAGTTTGCATGCTTGTTGTTGCTCACTTGCTTGCCGGCCGATCGTTGCACCCACCCACTGCGTAACGTAACGGCGCATTGTGTATACACTATAGAGATGTATATGCTTGSTATGTTGCATGTGCGGTGGCAAAAACAAATATTCAACAACCAATTGCCGCTCTCGCCAGTGAAAGCATTTATTGCTCTTGGCTGGCGCTCATGTGTGGGGAAAAGAGCGCGCGCGATCGGCTATTGGCGCGCTGCTCGCACCACAATGGCTGCTTTTCGACGGAAATTTCTACAACGATCCGGCCACGCCCCTTTCTTGTAATTTCTGTATGTTTGTGCGTGTAACCGCTTGCGCCTTCACWGCCAGACTTGCTGGTGTCTGAGCGCTGCTCAGCGCTGCTTTTGCTATACTTTCATGCAACTACTTTGCTTTTGTAGTTGTTGTTGTTTTTAGTTGTGTTAAAAAAGCCTGCGCATTTGCATTCGCCGGCAAATCTAGTTTGCGTAAAAAAGGTGCGATTGCTCACCATTCTTGTGCGTACCCGCCGCGCTCCCCAGCGCCGCTGATTGCACACGCTAATCGCTGATCAGCGATCAGCGATCGCCGCATTGCCTGGCGATAGGAAAATTGAGAAAATCTTTTCCACTGCCATTCGCCACAGTTGCTTAACGTTTTGCCTGTCTTTTGATCTTGAGCCGCCAATATTTTGATTTAATTTTAATACTCCGTTTTGCTGTAATTTATCGCCTCGCTGTTGGCCCCGCGCGTTCGGCGATTTCTTCCACAGCTTTTATTTATTTTGTTATATTTTTCATTATTATTTTGTTATTGCTGTTGTTGTTGTGTTCGTTATGAATATTGCAATCTATTCTGATTAGCTACTGCAGCGCRTCAGGCCGACCGGCAATGAGCGCCTGTTGGGTTCGTGTGAAATGAAGCTGGTTGTATTTAGCCACTGGCCGCCTGGGAAATCCTTAGGCTTATCCGCAGTGAAGAATGAATGCTGTTAGAATTTTGTTTTTTGTAAAATATTAGAAATTTATAACTTAATCTAAACTGTAAAATTTTCAGATGCCACTGCAAATATAACCAATATATACCCATTTTCTAACCAAAACTTAAATTGTGTTTCACCACACTGGTTTCCTTCGCCTGCAAACTTTTGATAAATGATGTTAAATTATTTCGCATTTCAGGTGACGATATRTAAATATTTTCTATATTTATTAATAACGTTTTCATATTCTAAGTTCAGAATCCCGAACACAACAGACCACAACATGTATGCAAAACCAATCATTAARAAAAGTGACAGCATTTCGAATTGATTAGATAGCTTCAGCTATGTCTAAACCAAGCTCTATTGATCATGACTGAAGAAAATGTCAAGAGCAAGGCTTAACGACATATGTATATAACGAGACAACGACATAAACTGCAGGGAGAGTAGTCGGTATTGAGACCGCAGAACTTGTGGAAATGCACATCAAGCGTTGGAAGCTTGAATGAAGTCACTATTTCTCAAGAACTACGTAACGGTACTCCGACTTGCATCACTAGGGACCAAAACTGAACCTTGCCTAAACTATTATATATAGACATCAATGCCAATAGAAGACTTGAGAGAAAGATCTCTGAGTTTCTAATGTAAGCGTTAAAATAAAKGTTCCAACGATGTCARTAAGATCTCTGACTGTTAATCGTCTATCCTTAAGCAGCAATTTCTTTATTTCCTAGACATTGTTCGTTGTCATCGCGTTCTCGACTCTGTTTGAGTAATTTCTACCAGTTAAAAACACTTGCTCGCGACAAACAATTATCACTGTGGGCCAATTCAACATTCTGAACGTTTCGGCATCAGAAAATAGTAGTATATGACAAGTTAAAATTCAAAAAATTAAATTTTTGTTGAGAGAAGCTGGTCCTTTCGGGCTACAGAGGCGCTTATGATTACATAGTCTTTACCTAAACAGGAAACGACTGCTCGGTTTAGATATGTAGCAGTAGAGTATGCTACGAGTGATTTATGAGAGTGACGTAAAAGTAATAGAATGGATTTTTTTTGGATAGAAGACTTCTACAGGAGTTCTGATATGCTTATGAAAGTGTTTTGAAAATAAGAAATTATCAGTCGAGGATATTAAGGATTTCAAAAAAAGATCACACACTGTAACATACATATAGTATTCCGGTTGAATACTGTCAATATTTTTTTCTTAAACGAGAAACCWTAAAGTCTTTCAAGTAGAGGTAGTTAATAATGTAAGAATTGGTAATTCAAGCACGATAAAAAAAAGTGTCTGTCCACAGAAAAGTCCATCATGTCGAAAACGGTTTGGAAAAAATACGTCAAAGCATGCCGTAAGTGTTTAAGGCAAATTTGTAAGGACGGTATCTCCAGCTTCATTGTTATTCAGATTATAGGTGTTGAAAGAGCTGCGGGTCTTAGGTGTTGAAATCAAAAAATATTTCARAATTCATTGAAATATTTCCCACAAATTTTGTGATCGAGTATTATGCCATGACAAGCCATTAGAAATATATTCTAAGGCTCAGGTATTGGCAAAAGAGTGAGATTCTCTAAATATAAAACTTACTTTGAAGGTTCTGCCGAATAAATATACAGGCAATGCGGGGATATCTTTGTGAAAAAATTCGAGCCATTTGTGTTATTCAAATTATGYCGGAAAATTGTCTTAACAGTTTCGRAAYAGATTTTGGTTAAAAACAGGACAACGCTCGGAATGACATCTGTATCCACGCAAAGCAGAATATCATGAATGACGTCATATACTACTCTCTCTGCATCTAAGTATGTGGATTAACATTCTTTTAAATACATGTCTTATTTATCATATTGACTAAACGCTTGTCAAGCAAATTGAAGAATGGATTGTGTTGTAATTTTCTTATCCTCAAGCATTTAGACTTAAGATCAAATTTGAACCGGACTGGAACATTTCAACTTTCCTCGCGTTTATGAGTGTACATTTGTAACCATGTATGTATGTATGTATGTATTCATATATGTATATGTATATGCATTTAAGCACCAGGATCAGCTGTAAACACATATAAATATGTTCTAAATATGTTCTTAGCTGCTGCTCCTGCTAAAGTCCCTTGATAGTGCCCTCGCCAGCACCTTTACTGCGTCAGATCGTAGCAAATCAATGTGAGAGTAGCTGCGGCAACTTTCGCTCAACCCTTTCGAAATACAGTTAATCACAATTTAAATATCACTAAATTGACATTGAGTTATGGCAGCGGTGGCAACAATGGCGTGGCGCGTGAGTTCATCATTTTCACACAAATAAGCGCGGCGAAGCTTAGGAATACGCTGCAGCTAGAAATGAGTGTTTATGGGTGGTATATGTGCTATGTATGGGTTAGAATTTGTGTTTACATTTGTATTTTGTTTTTGTGTGCATTGGTTGWAACAAATTCTATTAGTAAATACAGTAAAAATCCGATTGAAGTGCAGTGCTTGTGCTTACACATACTTACTATGTGGCTACTGCATTGCTTTTATGCATTAAAGACTAAACATACACATGTATTTATGTATGTGTCTATAGCATTTCGAGACATAAATAATAATGATGGTGTGCATTTTGGCTTCTAAACATTTTTGATTTATTCTCCAAAGCAAATGCAATTTCGTAATGCTATTTAGTTATGCACAAACACACAGTGATAGGAAAAACTGAGTGACAACAGCGGCAAACATATGTACATATCAGTGGGTATATGAAGGCATGTAAACAGTATTAAATATGTATCTGGCTATAGCTATGGGCACAAGTAGTGGTTAGACAAACAATTTATTGAAATTTGGTTGGCTGTGGCAAGCCAAGCAGTGGAAAGTACAATCACTTACACGCGCACAGATGGATATTTGTCTTCATATATGTATGTATATATTTCTCTGCATATATGTATGTATGTATAGGCGCATATGTRTAGCTGAAAGCACTTATTTGAGTAGAAAAGGCAGCGTGTGTAGTATAAATATTCAAAGTGGAAAGTTATATATRTTGGTATGTGCATTAAAATGCATAGCTGTATATATGTGTGTGTGTGTGTGTTGATGTAGTGAGAGCCAAGTGAACGGCTTCTAAGTGGCATTAATATAAGAAAAAATGTTGATAAATAATAAATACCTTTCAAGTTGCTTTTAGCATAAAAGGCTATAAAAATATGTTTGGCATGATTTTGATTGATCAGTTTGTATGGCAGCTATATGTTATAGTGAGCTGATCTAAACAAATTTTTCACAGATTATAGAATAAACTTAAAAAATAAACCTCACCTCAGTTTCGTTAAAAGACCTCGCCAAATAAAAAAGTTTTCCATACAAGGACTTAAGTTTGATTTATCAGTTTGTATGACAACTACATGTTATAGTTATCAGATTTCAACAATTTATTCACAAATTACAGTATTGTCTTAAGAAATAATTTACACCAAATTTCGTGAAGATAKCTCGACACATAAGAAGTTTTCCATACAAGGACTTGAGTTTGAACGATCACTTTGTATGGCTGCTATATGATATATTGGTTCGATCTAAACATTTTCTACAGAGATTGTATTACTGACTGAAAYAATTAGCTCTGTTGAGTTTCGTGAAGGTAGTTTGTCAAATAAAAGAGTTTTC